CTCCGATAGTACCCCCGCCAACCCAAGGAAACTCCTGATCTCGGAAGGTGACTTCGGTGCCTCCCAACTCATCACTGCTTCCACCTTGGTCGGATCGACCAATATCCCTGCCTGATTAACAACATGTCCAAGAAATTGGACCTCCCGCAACCAGAAGTCACATTTGGAGAATTTTGCATATAGCTTCTCTGACCTCAGTACCTCAAGGACCTCCCTCAAATGTCCCTCATGCTGCTCTCTAGTTCGCGAATACACTAGGATGTCGTCGATAAATACGATCACAGACCGATCCAGCATCGGCCTGCATACCCTGTTCATGAGGTCCATGAACACTGCCGGGGCATTGGTGAGCCCGAAAGGCATCACCACGAACTCGTAATGCCCATACCGCGTCCTAAACGCTGTCTTCTGGATGTCCTCATCCCGCACTTTTACCTGATGGTACCCTGATCTCAAATCGATCTTGGAAAACCAAGATGCCCCTTGCAACTGATCGAATAGATCATCGATCCTTGGTAACGGATAGCGGTTCTTGACCGTCACCTTGTTCAACTCCCGGTAATCAATACACATCCGGTGTGAACCATCCTTCTTCTTGACGAACAGAATCGGTGCTCCCCACGGCGAGCTACTCGACCGAATAAATCCCTTCCCCAGCAACTCCTGGAGTTGCGAGGACAACTCTTGCATCTCTGGAGGTGCAAGACGATAAGCCACCTTCGCAATAGGCGCAGCCCCCTGAACCAGATCGATACCAAACTCTACTTGCCTCGCAGAAGGTACTCCCGGCAAATCCTCGGGAAAAACATCTGGAAACTCGCGCACCACTGGAACCTCCTCCACTGTCCTCGGTCTCTCGGTAGTCTCCCGCGTATCCATCACATACGCCACAAAGCCTCTACATCCCTACTGTAGGCATTGCCTCGCCCTAGCGGCCGAACAAAAAGCTGATCCCGAACGGGTACCCTCGCCGTATACCATAAGAACTCCCCCACTGGGGTCTCGTATAGTCACCAGCTGACGCTCGCAGTCGATGACGACGCTAAATCGGCTCAACCAGTCCATGCCCACGATGACACAGACATCCCCCATCGCAATAGGAATTAGGTCAATCGGAAACGCAACCCCGAAAATCTCTAGCACGCATCCCCGAAGAACTTCCGTGGCACAAACCACCCTCTCGGCCGCAATAGAAACGCTCAGAGGCCGACTTAACAACTCACGACTAATGCCGATATGCTGACTAAAAGCTAACGATACAAAGGATCTACTCGCACCCGAATCAAATAACACTAGAGCAGGCATAGAGTTCACAAGAAAAGTACCTACACATACATCAACATAAGCATAACATTTCGACTTTAAAGTAAATATGTGAATGATAACATACCTGCTACAACATCGGGCGCAGCGCGGACCTCCTCCGCAGTCAGCTGAAAAGCTCTCCCGCGAGCTCTCGGGGCCTCGACCTTCACCGGTCGGGTCTTAGTAGTCCCGGTAGTAGGTGTAGATCCCTGTCGAAGCTGCGGGCACTCGGCCTTCCGATGGCCTATCTGGTTGCAATGAAAGCAAACCATAAACCCCTTAGGGCAATCCCTGGCAATGTGTCCCTCCTTGCCACACTTGTAGCAACCACCAGCTCGACACGCTCCCTCATGACCCTTGCCGCACTTCGCGCAAGTGCGGCCCTTCGGACCTCCCATCCTCGAATCAGCGGACTTGGTCCGCTTGGCTGCCGGCTGAAACTGAGCCGGTCGCCGGTCCGCCCGCCGAGACTCGGCCTCCTCCCTGGCCTGGGTCTCCAACTCGATCTCGCACTTCCTGGCGTTCGCCTGAAGCTCAGTAAAAGTACGATAGGTGGAGTTTGACACAAACTCCCGGATATCCCTCCTCAACACGCCTAAGTACCGGCTCATCCGTGACTGCTCTGTAGACACCAACTCTGGGCAGAACATCGCCCTCTCGTGGAACTTCCGTGTGACCATCGCAACGGAATCAGTACCCTGCTTAATGGTCAAGAACTCCTGAATCAATCGTTCCCTCTCTACTGGGGGAACATACTCGTCCCTGAACATCTCAGTAAACCTCTCCCACGTCACCGCTGTAATCTCCGCCAGGGTGAAGTTCGTCGTCACGAACTTCCACCAATCCTTCGCTCCCAAACGGAGCTGGTTCAAGGCGAACCGTACCCTCAGGTGCTCCGGGCATGAGCAAGTATAGAAGCACCACTCAATGTCGGCAAATCCACCTCATTGCCGCAATCGGATCCTGCGTCCCATCGAACTCAGGGGGTTTCGTGTTGCTGAATTCCCGGAATAGCAACGAATCACCCCCTTGCGGCCTAGCAGCTGCCACAGCTGCGGTAGCGGCAGCGACTGCAGCTTCAGTCAGTGCGGCGTACCGCTCCTCAAACTCCTCCATCAGGGTGGTCTTAATGGACCCAAACATCTCCGGGATCTCAGCCCGAACCGCCGCAACTACCTCCTCCTGAATCATCTGACGAATCTCCTCGTCACTCATACCGCTCGAACTCGCTCCGTGGCGTGTCGTAACCATGATGTGTCTGAAATACAACATAAAATTATCAGAGACTCCATCAAGTACATTTGTACTCGATAACGCAACCCTACTCAGTCTCCGATATCCAGGGATTCTTACTTGGGTCTTCCACCGACCCGGTGTCTTTGGTAGTACGGGCCCAATACTACCGACCACACCGTGTCAGTATTCGTCCCAAATCTTCCTCCCCAAACCCCGAATAGTGAGTACTCTACTTCTCGTATGCACTATCTACCTGCACGCTACCGAATATCTCATACAAGCAACCTCCCTAGACTAAGGCATCACAAAACAGGCCATTCTAGTCCTATCATGCATACCTAGTCTTCTAGCATGCATAACAATTCATAATTCAGTGCATAACATAACATTGTAAGGTATTCTGGGGATCTTTACCGTTCGGGCGCTGGCTGATCGTATACACTGCGTCTTTCTTGTTTACCACTTTACCATTTATAAAAGTTTATGTATTTATTATTTTTAAAAGATTTTTCCTCAAATCCTCGGTTTGAGTTCAGTTACACCCGAAGGTACACCCGAATCCCTCAAACCAAGGCTCTGATACCAATTGTAACAACGCAAATTTTCAAATAAATTTTTTTCATTTAAAATAAAGTAGTTTCATTCAAAACAATAATATTTATTTCCTGTTTCATATCAAATACATATATAAAGTCCCCAAGATCTCAAATAGTAGCAGTGTGTATGCATCATGCCGGCGCCTTCCCACGGTCATCGCTAGTACCTGTAACACATACATAACAACTTGTAAGCATAAATGCTTAGTGAGTTCCCCAGTATATGACTTACACACATACGCCTTTCCAGGCCCTGACCTTCCGGTCCACAATACATTGCCTTCCGGCCCGTAACATAATCGCCTTCCGGCCCATAACAACTTGCCTTCCGGCCTGTATCAGATTGCCTTCCGGCCCATAGTATATTGCCTTCCGGCCCATAACATTTACAACATGTAATACATATAACATAATACACATAGAACATACATCATACATCATACCTGACCTTTCTGTCATATAACATATCGCCTTCCGGCCCGTATAAACATACATATCATGCATAGCATCTACCTTTCTATTTATAGCATAAATAACACATATCATATACGACCTTCCGGTCTCACAGTCATACCCTTCTGGGTGAAGTATAGTGAGAAGACTCACCTCGTAGTATGTAAACTATAAACTCTTGAAACCACTCGCACTCGGTCCGCCGATCTGCAGTCTCCCTATAATACCATATACCCTTATTAATAATCTTATCAAACAAGACAACTGACCCTACGAAATTACATGCAGGTCAACTCTGGTCAACGGTCAACTTGACCGGACTCGTCGAGTGAAAAGGCGACTCGACGAGTCTAGACGTCCTCCCCAACTTTCCCTGTTGTTCCCCTTTCTACTCGTCGAGTATCCCTCTTGACTCGACGAGGTCCTCGTGGAAGAATCGCGGGGCCACCCCGACTCCACTCGCCGAGTCTGAAGACAACTCGACGAGTTCCAATGAATCCTCAACTACTCGCCGAGTCTGAAGAACAACTCGGCGAGTCCCAGTAAATCTTCAAGCTACTCGCCGAGTCTGATCATTGGACTCGGCGAGTCCATGCCATGCAGTCGATCATCTGCCTCCTGAATTACGCATGGTCCCGAGACATGCACCCATGGGACTTTCTGGACCTCTAAGCATCCTATTACTGGGGTATAAACGATTGGGTAACAACATAATAATCTATCTAATCCCCAAATGGGTCTCATAAACCCTAGATTCGTGTACACCACCAAAACAACAGAAATGGTCCGAGTATTACCTGGAAAACGTGTTCTCTGTGTCCCCAACCTTCAGAGCTCAATCCTCTTGATCTTCCTTTGACCACAACCTTGCCTCTTCTTGCCTAACAATCTCCTCAAAGTTCCAATAGCCTTCCCTTCTCCTCTAGTCGTCCACAAATGCTTAGGTTCTTCACAATCGGCCAAAAAAACGTACAATGACGGCCTAAGAGGCATTATATACGATCCAGAACCAAACGGCTAGGGTTTCTGCTGAACAGCGTCGACTCGCCGAGTCCCTAATGGACTCGTCGAGTCCAGTCGCAAATCTGCGACCAAGT